TAGCCGAGGAGAGGGACCATGATGACGCAATCCAGCACTTGAACAAGCTGGACATAACCAAGCCACTCGGTCTGGAATGAGTACGGCGGAGCCATGAGAATCGTCGCAAAAGTCGATGCCTGGTAGACGTAGATACCCAGGAAAGTTCCGTTGATGAGCAACATCCATACAATATTCGGAAGACACAAGGATTGAAACGTCTCCTTGTAGAACACGAGAGTCTGACTCCAGTCGGGCTTGAAGTGGAAGATCTTCATGTCGGATCGCCAGGTTCGCTCGCCGAACGCTTCGGGTTGAAGGACGTGATTCTCGCGTGTTGTGACCTGGATGACTCTCTCCATGTCGCCGGTCTTGGTAACGTTTCCTTCGTCGTCGAACTTGAGATGAACAGCGCCACCTGCGAAACAAAATCGTTAGGCCTCTCATCATTCACGAGTTTAAAGGAAAAGAGCTTACGATCAGCGTCTTCTGGCCTATCATACTTGGTCTCGACCACGAAGAAGACAGCCAAGATCAGGATGACAGCATTCATCAAAGTGACGATAATGTACCACCACTTGATACCCCAAGCTGGCACCAGATAAGCTGTCGCAACGAACATGCCAGCAGTGCCCGCAGTCTGAACGCCAATGAACCAGGAAAGCTTCGCGCTGCGCTCGTGGAGGAAGTGAATCTCCTCGATCATGAACGGAGCCAGAGCTTCACTCTGGCCAGCTGCGATGCTGTAGAAGTTGCGGCCTGCGATATGACTGCTCAGCGAGCCGGAGAATGCACACCATATTCCCGAGACCACCATCAAGACGAGCGAAGCCAGGAAGACGGGCCGCCGCCCGAGGGGGACGCATAAGGGCATAGAAAAGAGGTTTCCGATGCCCATGAAAAGCGTCGGGTAGGTGAGGAGATCGGTCGCTCGAGTTGCGTCTTCAGGTGGGTACTCCTTCAGGACTGACGGGAAGACAGCTCCCAGGCCGGAGGTGACCAAGACGGCAATTGCTGAGTACGAGCCAACCACAAAGATGATGAGGTATTTGTGCCATGTTGGAAGGTTTAGAGGATCTGTGTGTCTTCAAGTCAATCCCGTTCGACGTTTTGAAGCGACGATGCTTCTGTGAACATGCCATTGCTAGTGAGCAGATGTACCTTTTGGATCCGGGCTCGGAGTTGGAATCAAGACGACTGAGCCCCCTTGAAGAAGCTGAACCGTGCCGTGCGCCTGCGCCTCCTGTGTCGCTGGTGGTTTGGTGGGTGATTCCACGGTGTCGACCCGCGCCTCATCATCTTTTGGGACGGACGGCTCCGACATCTTTCGTCACCCAAAACTTCAGCTCCTAAGTCAATGGGCCAACGAAAAGACGGTATCGAAAGGCTCTGCAAAGTCTCCGAGCCTGAGGTGAAGTCGGAGGTTATGAGTCAGGGAATACGTTTGGGCTCAATAAGGTTCTCTGTCTTCGTCTAAATACAATTACGGTAAAAGTCTATTGCCCTGTCTGAACGCGCTTCATCATTCATATGCATTGCTGTTTTCTTGGAAACTGCCAAACTTGAGTTGTTGTTGTCGTATCCATTGACACTCAGCTGCAAGCACACAATACTACTAAAACATCGTGGCTGGCTCATCGGCTCGGCTCAGACCCATCAACTCCCGATAGTATGGGCCATTTCTCAGCCGGCAATTGGTACGGGAGGCGCCTCAACGCGGGGAACTTGGCGTCGACTGTGTCCCCCACGGCTGTACTCCAATTGACCCCGTGGGGATAGTCTGGGGAAGAAGCGAGATCAACCAGTCACATCAGAGGCAATTCCCGTGAAGATCTGTCATGCCCGCATTTGCATGGATACCCCCCACCATCGGAAAGCCCTGAGCACTGCCGGAATGAGGGGCCGTCGGCTGGTGTTCCACATGAATCGCCGAAACGTCCGCCCTCACACACGCACACTCGCACACACAACTTTGCCCTGAGCCGCGTCCGTTGTTTCGGAACCCAAAGCCAAAAAAAGAGTGAGCCTCTCATAACGACGACGCTTCGGTATCTGCAATCTCCATTCTGCTCCAGCCGAAAGCCTGCCTTATCCAGTCATACGCTCACTCCCGATCAGCTCCCTGGCTCGGGAGCAGCAGCACCAGCAGCAGCGAGAGGACAACTTGCGACTCAATCCAGTCAGCGGCGCAAGTCACGCCCCTCTTTTCCATATCAAACAAATAATATGTCATCTTCTTACGCAAACCCCGTACCCACTCCGGGTGACTCGTCGTCATTCGTCGACTCGTCAAGCGCGGGGACGGAGAGCCAGCAGGCGAAGCGTAGACGAATCAACTTCGCCTGCAACTACTGCCGCAACCGCAAGACGCGCTGCGACGAGCAGAAGCCGTCATGCAGAGCCTGCATCGCCGCCGGGATCGAGTGCGTCACCACCGACCGCCGGCGTCCCGGCATCGAGGTGCAGCGGCGCGAGACGAAGCGCCGCATGTCGCGGGCGTCCACCTCGTCCCTGCCGCAGCCCGCGACTCCGGCTGGACCCTATGCGTCTCCTCAGTCTACCAGAGGCGGTGAAATCTGCCACAGCTCGGTGGACGCTGCTATTCCCGGGCATAAGAGCTCACCTTCTGTGGCTGACCTCAGCCATGATGAGAGCTCAAAAGACTCTCACTCCACAACGACAGGACCAACGCCGAGGACAAGGAACTCAACATCAGTACCCGCTACTCACACAGCTCCTCCTCAAGAAGAGGAAGAGCCTCCTAACGGTAATGGAAAGTTCCAAGGAAAGTTACCCGTAGTTCGACCAAGCCGGCACAGTACCTCGGTCGAGATCCTAGCCGACTGGTTGGATCTCGCCTCGCGCCGGCTGGGTCTGCAGCACAGAAGGGGTCTGCCGCCGCCGCCGAGTAACCCACCTAGTAGCAGAATCCGCGGGCTTCTCACATCGGAGCCCTGTCGCTTCCCTCCCGCCGGATGCGCGCGCCTGTTGGCGGCCAGGTTCTTTGACGGCGTCAACATTCTTTACCCTCTACTTAACCGCGACCGGTTCCAAAAGGACCTTGACTTGGCCCTGGAGTCAGGTCCAGTAGAGCTTGCCGAGACTAGAGGCGTGGCGATCCTCGCTCAGATGTACCTGATCTGGTCCATCGGGTTCTCCGCCGAACCACTCCTCGACCCCGTTGTAGATCCAAGAGAATACCTGGACTACTGCAAGACACTACTGGGCCATCTCGTCGTCGCCAACAACGTCGAGAACATCCGAGCGATTGTCTTGTTGTCGCTATGTATGCACTGCTACGACGACTGCGCCGGGGCCTGGAACACGCTCAGCGTTGGCGTCTCCATGGCCATCGCCATGGGGCTGAACAAGCCGCGCACATGTCGTCGCAAATGCCAAAACAAGAAGCCTGATGCCCTCGATGACGAGGAGCGCCGAATATTTTGGCTTGCCATTTATGCTTTTGAAAAGTTCCTGTCATTCGAGATGGGCCGGTTGTCATCGATTGACGACGAAGACTGCTACCCCGCTCATGTGCAGGAACTTGCGACTTACACAGAAGCTGAGACATCCTCCAAAGGCAAAGCATTCGCGGTGACGGTTGACCTCGCCAGAATTCTGAGTGAGATTGGTCGAAAATCAGTCATCGTCAGCAGAAAAGAAGACGGCGTTACGGGACCTGCGCTGCAGGCTGTCATTACCGAGAAGGTTCAGACTACCGGAGAGGCACAGCTGCTCCTCACGAGATGGGGCGAATCCGTTCCCGACGAACTTCGGTACGTGCCGGACCACCCGAAACACTTCTGCATTGCATTGAACTTGAAGTTAATTGTCTGTTGTAGACCAACATCAGATATTCTCATCGGCTCCAGGATATGTCCGTTTGCTTCTTTTATCTCGATGCATTACAACAACGCGTAGGTGTTCCTTATCCGGGTGTGATCCCAAAAAGAGAGACTGCTATCATGAGAGTCTTACATAGTATGACTGACTCATGCCACTTCAGTCTAGTCATTCTGTCAAGGAATAGTCTCCTCATTAGCGAAGAAGCAATATCCAGCGGCGCCAACATCATCGCCAAAGGCAAGCCGTGGGACTATATGGTTCGAAACGGACCGTCGATCGCTGCCAACGCTTCCCGAAAGATGCTCCGCATACTCGTGGAGACTCTCGATTCCAAGTCGAACTCTGTGTATCCGAGTTTGCTTGTCGCCCTCCATGCTCTCGTCACGCTATCAGTCCATGTGGCTACACATCCTGACTCCCGCATCTCCGCAATGGACTTCCATGTAAGCAATACTCATGCGTCTTGTTTGGCCTACTAACACCCGGCATAGTTGATCCAAACTGCGGCGGACACAATGAAAGAGGCCTACTCTCGCCTCCGGGGCGACGCCCTATTCAACGGCCTCTTGCACAAAATCGACACGATTCTGCAGCAGTCAACGCCTGCCACGACACGGCTAGCCGTACAAACCATACAGCCAGCAGTTCCAGCCGCATCGACACAAGGAAGCCAAGATAATCCTTGGACAGCCCAAGGCGACGGCACAAGCCAGACGCCAAATACCTGGGCGGACAACAACAGTCAAATGAAAGAGGCGGGACCTACTCCCGACATGTCGGCAGCACCGATATTCAACCAGAACTATATCATCCCCGGCGCCAACGACTTTGGATACGATCCCATGGGCGGCATTCCTATGCCGGGTGATGAGTGGTCGCCGAGCATGTCCGATGGAGTCGGATGGGACTGGTCGTGCTTCTCACAGCTACTGGCTGATCAATTCCAACCGCAATGAGTTACACGACAACGGCAATCATTCTATGTCCGCCATCATATCAATAATCAGACATGCACTTGTTGCATGCATTGAAACTTCAGAGGCTAGACCCCGACGACGCTTAAAAGGGTGGCACAGCGCACGAGGCACCGATACGACTTCACTCGCCTGCACCAGCCCCCGGCCCTCAGCCATGATGCACCAAGACTCAATACTGCAAAAAAGCGAAAAAGAAACCGACGTGGGCCCGATTCGAACGGACGCTCCCGAAAGAACAAGATTTCGAGTCTTGCGCATTAGACCACTCTGCCACCACGCCCTTGGTTGATGGTGATGTGGGTCCACAACCGACCCTAGAATCACCAGGCGGAGAGGTGCCGGAGAGGTAGCTAGCTGAAGCTTTGTGTGGATACCTCTCGGTGCTTGCCTCACCAAAAGCCAAACAGCAGACAGGTATTCTTCAATACAGACTCTAAGGCAATTTAATATGGACTTGACCTTGATTTCCATAGTTCAATGTGTCTTAATCGCTGCTTGGGAACCAAGGGCGTATTTCCAGACAAGGAAGGGCATCAACGTTGCACATCATTTAACATGGAAAAGTCTCAGTGGCGTCGACATCGTGAGGTTGACGGGAACTGCATCTCCTGTGGAGTCGATAACGCAATCTGTACCACCGATGCTTACAGGGACTCTGAACACCAGCGGTGATTGGGTCAAACACACGCTTGGATGTCACACAAGGGCGCGTAAAGCTTCCCCGCATCTGACACGTTTATTGACTTTAATGGTGCTCAAAGGCCCTCTTCTTGGCAACATCAGCAAAGAAAGATTTCAAAAGGACTCGGCGTCAACCGCAACACTTACTCGACCCACAATGACTGAACTTGCACCCACGCGACGGCCTTTCAAGGGCTCATGCCACTGCGGGGAGACGCAGTACATCGTGTTCCTCACCTTCCCCCATACTCTGCCTCCACCTCGTCCAACCAAAGAAAAAGGGCCACGAGCGCATCAGGAATTCTACCGCTGCAACTGCACCACCTGTCAGAAGGCAGGGTTCTTCCATATGCGCCTCAACTCGGCCCCAGAGGATTTCATCCTGCTGCATCCTCTGGACCCATACAAGGATCTTGGTGACTATACGGTCTACCAGAAAGACTTGCACTTCCTCTTCTGCAAGACGTGCGGGATGCGGTGCTTCATTCTCATGGGACAAGGCGAGGTTACAAAGGTCGATTTGGAGGCTCTCGGCGTCAAGTCCGATGGTGAAACCCAGGAAAGCAACCTCGACGGCAAGAAGCTGACAAAGGTTTGGAGACCTTCGAAGGACAGTTGGAAAGAGGGCAAAAAGTTTGGGAGTTACCTAAGCGTCAATGGCTACTCTGTCGATGCTGGCCAGGAGGGGTTCGACTTGCGTGAGATTACCGAAAAGAAGTGGGTGGGATACCTCGATTGGCTCGAGCTGAAATCCGAAGGGTCTCAGGGCACTCGTTTCGACCGACCCTGGGAAGGAGGCGCTTATTGAGCCGAGTGGTGGACTGATTCTTCAGCAAAGGATTCGGTTGTTAAGGGTCTTGTGGAGTAAGATAAATGACAAAAAAATCCTGTTGATCTTGGCTGCTGGGCCCTCGAAGAAGTTGATAAGACCGACATTTCCCCCGTGTCCATTGAAGGATGCGAAACCATGATAAGACTCTAGGTTTGACTGTTTCGCCCTCGTACAACCGCCTCGCCTTCAGCTGGGAGGCCTGATAAGCCGTAGGATTGACCCCTGCTATCTGCCATCTCAAGTTGCGGCGGTTAAGACTCCGCCCGAGTTGCGGGGCCGCACGACGTAATATCGATGCGGACGTCTGCGGCCCGCATCCGGTTGCTTGACGCGGGGTCACCGTTCCCCGCGATAACTCGGTGGAGACCGTTAGTTAGTTGCAGATAACACCCGTGAACCATCGGGTTAATGCAGTCAGGTGTCCATCGGGCAGGGAACCGGCAGAGAGCTGAGGCCGCTTGTCCGCCATCCACCATTATCTCTGAGGCAGAGCCAACAGAATATTGGCCGGTAATTACGGACAGCTATCTCTGGCCAGCCTACTCGGGATTAGATCCATGCTATTAGCTACTGCATGTAGTCAGCCAAGGACTCGTCCATGTTGATATAAAACATGCCCGTCATCCGTTCCAAGGTCGTGGAACCAAAGAAAGTTCTATGCTTGGTCAAATTCAAAATACCCCAGATTTTCAGCTGAATTCTTCAAACATTCCCTCCTTCACTTCTCAGATCCCGAATCAACATGGCTGTCCGCACTGTAAAGGTCGCCTGCACCCAGGCCGAGCCCGCTTGGGTCGACCTCCCCGCTGCCGTCGAGAAGACATGCAAGCTCATCACTGAAGCCGCCTCCAACGGCGCCCAGCTCATCGCCTTCCCGGAGTGCTGGATCCCCGGCTACCCATGCTGGATTTGGTCGCGTCTCATCGACTTCGACCTCAACGTCAAGTACATCAAGAACTCTCTCGCTGTCGACTCCCCGGAAATGGGCACCATCCAGGCGTGTGCAAAGGCGAACAATATTGCCGTGTCCCTCGGCTTCTCTGAGAACGACAACAACTCTCTCTTCATCGCACAGGCCCTCATCGGCCAGGACGGCGAGATCAAGGTCCATCGCCGCAAGATGAAGCCCACGCACATGGAGCGCACCATCTTTGGCGATGCGTCCGGTCACTGCCTGAAGAGCGTTGGCGAGCTGCCGTTCGCGCGAGTTGGTTCCCTGGCCTGCTGGGAGCACATCCAGCCGCTGCTCAAGTACAACACTATCGCCCAAAAGGAGGAGATCCACGTCGCAGCGTGGCCGAGCGTTACCCCGCATGGAGGTGGCCCCGATATGTGGTCCATGAGCGCTGAAGGTTTGTGACGATCCCACCAATGACTAGCCACTTAATTAGCTAGTGGTTCCGAATTATTGGCACTAACTAACAACCCGAGTAGGATGCCAAACGCTCTCGCGCACATATGCGATTGAGTCAAATGCCTTCGTGCTCCACAGCACTGCTCTGATTACCGAGAAGGGCGTTGCGGCACACGGCAGCGCCCAGGGTGCTATCATGAACAGCCCGGGCGGCGGCACGTCGGCCATCTTTGGTCCTGATGGCCGTAGGCTTACGGAGCCTGTCGATGACACCACAGAGACGATTCTGTACGCTGATTTGGACATGGACATGATCCACAGGACAAAGATGTTTGCGGACTGCACGGGTCACTACAGCAGACCTGACCTTTTGAGACTGTCTGTTGACAAAGAGATCAAGGTCGTTCTTAGGCTGCACAGCGATGCGGACAAGGACTCAAAATCGGAAGAGTCTGTGGTCGTGTTGTAAACACTTCAGCGAGGAGTATTGTTACTGGGAATGACAGATGAGTTTAATTAATACCAATGTTGCGCATTTCAAACCTTGGACTTCGTTCTTCTATTATTGGGCTATTTTGTCATATGGCTGTAGCCAAAAGTCGCGTTGTCCTAGGAACGCTCTACCTGAAATCGGCAGGGCCAGCAAAGTCAGTCTGGGGTTCCCACTAAAGACTGGTTACTGGGGCATATCTTGCGGCAGCGGCCAAAATTTACTCACGCAGTTGTCCACTGATTTTTAGTGTTCCATTGTTGCAGTAATATTAAAATATGACAACGCCTGCAGTAAAAGTTCTCTAAAGCAACAACGATTGATACCAAAGCTATCCAAGCGCTCAAGCCCCAATGGAATGTACAAATTCAAATCTCAAAGTCGGAAGTCCTACTCCCTCTCCTTTTTTCAATTGTTCCTCATGCTTTTGCACAGCAGCTTGCCACCGGCGGTGCCCACACCTTTTGATCGCCAGATGGCGACTCTGACGGCTCAGGGAAAGAAAGGGCTTGATCCGGCGCGGTATTCAACTGTCTTTTTGCCCTAGGCTGGCCGCCCATTTACACCATTCAGTTGGATTCCTGCATCTGATGCACTCTCTGCTCTAGAAGGGGCAAGTTTGGCTACGAAGCTTGACCACTTGTAGTATAGAGAGTTCTTCAGCCCTTCCCACGGACTTTCGCTTACCCAGCGACGGCCACCAAAGACCCAGTAGAAGAAATTCAGATGGATAGTCCTGGGTTCGCTTCCGTCGTCATCCTCGACTGGCTCATTTCTTCCAGGAGCATCGGGATGCTAGATGTCAAAGTTAGCTGTTGTCCGTTCCAGCGCAGCGTTTCAACGGCACTCACTCTCAAATCTTCACGCAAAGCGTATTGTGCCCTCCATCGACGCCCAAAGCGATGCACTCGTTCGTACGTATCAAGGTATCTCCTATCCTTGAATACAACAACGCGAACTCTAGCGATTTGAAGAAGACTCATCATTGAACTCTCAGGCAAAATCCCTGGTACAATGAGTCTTTCCCATTGCCCCTCTCCTTGCTGGTTTGTTACGTCGTCATGGGCAGTAAGATCCGATCTGTAGCTCCAAGTGGCCGTACCAAAGACGAGAGCATAGTAGAAAACTCCGATTGCAATGAGACCGCCCAGTACAGCAGCGTATATCCAATTTGGATATGAGGGTTGAGGCGTCGGGTTATTTGTCGCAGCCGTGGTATTTGCTGAAGCTGTAATAGTTGCTGGAGCTGTTGTATTTGTCGAAGCTTCGTTGTTTGGCGTTAGAGTCCATGCACCGAATACCAGTAGTATTACATTTAGACCCGTGTATATGACAACCAATGTCAACACGATAGCATGGAAAATTCCGGTTTGCTGAGAGAATCTCGTGATGTTTTTGGCAATGCTGAGTTGCATGGCATTCTCGCGTCGGCTCAGCGATACAAACGCCACTCCCAGGACCACTGTGTACTTGATTAGACCATATCGAAGGTAACGATTGGTGCACTTACACAGAACAAAGCTATGAGCGTATGTCTGCAGGTATCCTGGCAAAGTAACACTATCATGGGTGTTGCTGACTCCGGAAACAGCTATAACTACCACAACAGTCATGATCCAGTGCAGGAGTAAGCCGCCGCGAGGCGATTTATCAATAACAGTGTCCCCATCCCTGACCAAGTGATCAGATCTCCAAAGGTCTGACCACGGTAGAATGTTGGCGTCGCCGATCGATTGTTTTACTTTCAGACTGTTAGCAATCCGTCTAAAACGTAAATTTTATGAGTTATAATCAGGTGCTTAGGGGAAGTTTACCTCGGGAAAATGTAAAGATAATAGAGTTCAAGCTTCCGAGAGACGAAATCGCAGCTACTATTGCCCAGGCTCTAGTTGAGGTGCCACAAGAGCCCTCAGGAGACAGCTG